TGATCCTGCATCTTTGCACATTCCAATCCATTGAAGTGACACTCAGCCACACATTTCACCTTTCTATCGCTCGTCATCTCAGAAAAGATCTTCACACTGAGCTGTGACGCATGCGACTGGATGCCTACTCATCACCCTGGAGCTCTACCTGCAGTGTTCTCGTCCTCCCCCATGATGAAGCTCTTCACTACAGTCTTATTTATAAGGATTTTACAACATGCACTGACTCACCAGTAATGACTAGTGTTTCCTGACAGGTTCTGTCTGCCCTGCATCATGATCTTAAAAGCACTCCTGGAAATAGTTTAAATTTAGCACTTGACTTGTGCTGGATTCTTTTCAACCTGTCCAAGCAGATGCCACTTTACATACACCTTTTATATAAAGCCTTCCTAGAAATCATCTACTAGCAATAAACCTAAATTTGTTTATCTAAAGTTGAGTAAAAAAGTGTTTACTGAATTTCCATCAAGAAATCAATTGAATAGGACCTGCCAGACAAAGTGAAGTAGACCAAAAGATCCTCAAAGCTAAACATCATGCCAATCCAAAGAAATTCAAACACAAACGAGAAAGAAAATAATTGAGATCTACTAGTCTGCAGTGGCGGATTTAGGCATGGACAATATGGGTGATAGCCTTGGGCGGCGTCTTGCTATGGGTGACATGGAGACCCCCCAATCTCCAACTCTTCAAGTTCATCCAGGACACCCCTTCCCTCAACCCCCCCGGTTTTCACTTTCATCCGCAAACCTGCCCCCACCCCTCCCACCCCGTTCCTTATTTTACTATAAGGGGGGCACCAACTCCGTTTGCCTATGGCGCCAGTTAAGCTTGCGATGGGACTGCTAGTCTGTAAAAGCTAATAAAGCCATTCTTCACACAACGGTATGTGAACAGATCATTGATTTTTGAAATGAAGGTTTTTATTATTACATAAGGATAAAATACAAAACATTGCTTTTCGCAATCAAGAAATTACTTAAATAGACCCTGCTTGACAAAGTGAAGTGGACCAAAAGATCCTCAAAAGCTAGACATCATGCCGAGATCCAAAGAAACTCAAACATAAATGAGAAAAAATGATTGAAATGTACTAGTCTGCAGTGGCGGATTTAGGCACGGACAATATCGGTACTTGCCCAGGGCAGCATCTTGCTATAGGTGGCATGGAGGCCCCTCCAACCCCCATCTCTTCAATTTTATCCATGAAACCCTTTCCTTTAATCCTCCCGGTTTTCACTTTCATCCGCGAACCCCCCCACCCGCTCTTTACTGTAGTCCGCGTAAGGGTGTCATGAACATTGCGAGGGAGGCACGAATGCCGTTTGCCTAGAGTGCCACTTAAGTTTGCAAAGGTACTGCTAGTCTAATCTAATAAAGCCATTCCAACCCCTTTTCACACTACTGAAGGTGAACACATCAAGTTTTGAAATTAAAGTTTTCTTTTATTGCAGGAAGATAAATAATAAGACATTGCTGTTCGCAATCAAGAAATCACTTAAGTAGAACATGCATGAGAAAGTGAAGTAGACCAAAAGATCCTCAAAAGCTAGGCATCATGCCGAGAACAAAAGAAACTCAAACACAAATGAGAAAGAAAATAATTGACATCTACCAGCCTGGAAAACCTAACAAATCCATTCCAAACACTTTTCCACACTATTGTGTGTGAAAGCAATGGAATGGTAATGCCGTTCAGACAACAACAAAGATATCTATGTTGCAAAGCTAAGCTTAAATATTACATAGATTCAATTCAAAGTATTTTGTAAGAGCTGAAAAAATGAATAAAACTGTAAATTTGTGGTGTTTTTTTAATGAATGTAACAAATTTAGGCATTCAAATTTATACGTTCAGATCTGTGCATGTAACATCAGATATCATTTTATATTATAAATACATTTTATATTTTGCAGTACTGAGCCTTCTGTATTTTGTGTTTGTATTGTAGTAATACAAAAGCAATAGCTAACAATATTGTTTTATATCAAAGCTTTTTCATCCTGTAATGACATTCATTGTTTAAATACAAAATTGGTATAATATTTTAAACAACTGACAGATAACTGCATTTCGACTGAAAAAAGTTATAGATTTAATTAAAGTATTTGACAATACAGATGCAATTAATAAAATACTACAATATACGCAAATAACAAATGTTTAAACTTCTCCTGGAAATCTATTCCAGCAGGCAAATATTGCCTCTTAATGCAAAAGATAATTTGTCATGTTGTACTTGAGTCACAATTGCAACATCTTTGATGATCTTCACTCTTTGAAATCTGCTCCGACAGAGCAATCTGTTCTCTCCGAAACATAATAATGTTTGCAGGGGCTTCTCAGACATTTTACAAAACTAAGACGCCCAGCCATTCGGCTTTCTTTTTATATAGAATCACTGTCAATGTGAATCATTGTGTAGGAGTCCGGGGTCTATTTAATCTTGTCGGGGGTTTGAGTGCATATTCAGAAGATGCTCGCAATTGCAAATATCATGCGTGTTTTTATTACGCAATCATTCTATAAATCGATTCTGAGCGAAGACCACAGAATAGACATTTCTCCCAAATGCTATGAGTTTGTGAAAAATGTCAAACCCCCTCTGGAGAGAGTGAGAAAAGAATCAAGCTGTCTCTGTTTCTCTCTGACACAAACTGTTGTTCTGTGGGTCAGTATTGATCTAAAGCTTGGTGTGAAACTTGCAGGTGAAAAACTAGAAATCCTTAAAGGTGGATGTGTTGTGCAGGTATGTAAATAATGGATGATGCGTACTTCAGACTGATTTCTTTTTAATGTAGAAATTGGGGAAAAAAGCCACAAAGTTGATGGAACACAACAGCCTATAATTTACACTCACCGGCCATTTTATTAGGTATACCTGTCTAACTGCCTGTTAACGCAAATTTCTAATCAGCCAATCACATGACAGCAACTCAAGGCAGTAAGGCATGTAGACATGGTCAAGTTCAACGATCTGCTGCAGTTCAAACCGAGCATCAAAATGGGGAAGAAATGTGATTTAAGTGACCTTGAACGTAGCATGGTTGTTAGTGCCAAATGGGCTGGTCTGAGTATTTCAGAAACTGCTGATCTACTGCGATTTTCACGCACAATCATCTCTAGGATTTACAGTTCTATGAGTGCAAACGACTTGTTGCAGCCAGAGGTCAGAGGAGAATGGCCAGACTGGTTTGAGTTGAAAGAAAGGCAATGGTAACTCAAAAAACCACTCGCTTCAACCGAGGTATGCAGAAGAGCGTCTCTGAATGCACAACCCGTCCAACCTTGAGGCAGATGGGCTACAGAAACAGAAGACCACACCGGGTGCCACTCCTGTCAGCTAAGAACAGAAAACTGAGGCTGCAATTAGCACAGGCTCACCAAAATTGGACAATAGAAGAAGATTGGAAAAAATGTTGCCTTGTCTGATGAGTCTCGATTTCTGCTGCTTTCTTCGCACACTTTGGGCTCATTACTACCAATTGAGCATTGTGTCAAAACCACAGCCTAAATGAGTATTGCGGTTGACTATGTCCATTCTATGTCCATGACCATGACCATAGTGTGCCCATCTTCTGATGGCTACTTCCAGCTGGATAATGTTTTCTTGAACAAGACAATGATTTCACTGTACTCAAATGGCCTCCACAGTCACCAGACCTCAATTCAATAGAGCATATTTGGGATATGGTGGAACAGGAAATTCGTATCATGGATGTGCAGCCGAGAAATCAACAGCAACTGCGTGATGCTATCATGTCAATATGGACCAATATCGCTTGTTTAATCTATGCCATAAAAGATTAAGGCAGTTAAGGCAAAAGGGGGTCCAACTTGGTACTGGTAAGGTGTACTTAACAAAGTGGCTGGTGAGTAAATACAGTATAAAAAGTGAAACATGAAAATGTTATAATTTATGCAACTTTAAATCATTGAAAATTTTATTTATTCAATAGAAAACATAAGAAGTTTTGATGGTTCTCTCCATGAAGTGACTTTGTAAAGTCACTGGTGACAACAATAAACTAATAAAAACATTACACTATCATACATGTAGTCTGTGCAGGTATGGCTTAAACAATGCATTAGGCCTGTCATCTGCTTTTTGTGTTTGACATATATACATATATATAGTTGAAGTCATGATTATTAGCCCTCCTGAATTATTAGCCCCCCTGTATATTTTTCTCCCAATTTCTGTTTCATCAAGAGAAGATTTTTTGAACACATTTCTAGACATAATTTTTATAACTCATTTCTAATAACTGATTAATTTTATCTTTGCCATGATGACAGTAAATAATATTTGACTAGATATTTTTCAAGATACTGGTATTCAGCTTAAAGTACAATTTAAAGGCTTAACTCGGTTAATTAGGTTAAGTTATGGTAATTAGGCAAGTCATTTTTTTGTAGACAATCCAAAGAATATTGCTTAAGGGCTTAGTATTGCCCTTACAACAGTTTTAAACAAATTAAAAACTCCTTTTATTCTAGCCAAAATAAAACAAATAAAACTTACTCCAGAAAAAAAACATATTACAGGAAATACTCTGAAAAATTCCTCTGTTAAACGTCATTTAGAAATATTTGAAAAGGTAAAGAAATTCACAGGAGGGCTTATAATTTTGACTTCAACTGTATTACCCTAAAGATAATTACAAGAAACTATTTTATTATCACTCTAGCACCATTTTACCCCACTAAAAATCATACAGGGAAGTAAATATGACACCAACTATTAATATGGACTATTGTGAACTTCCCTCTTTTACTCCTGAAAATGTACAGTGAGCTGTACTGAAATATTGCAAATGCTGGACTATACAGTGACATAAATAATATGCAAGCAAATATAATCTAAATAATCAAAACAAGAAAAATGCTGTTTATATTTATATGTTAAAAATGTACATAATTGATTTTGATATTCACATACATTTAAAACCCTCAAAGCTCATTCAAAATGTAATATTTGCTGTAATTTACTCACCCTTAAGCCATCCAGGAACAAGGTGACATTTCTTTCTTCCCCGCTAGAGCATTAAAGAAGACTTGAGCTGAGGCCCTTGCTTTATAGTGAAATGCAAATTGATGGTTGATTGGCACTTTGAGAGAGAAAACAAATATATACAGAAAAAAAAGAGTTTATATGAAGTGAACTCATAATTTCAATCCATTGTAAATAAACAGTGTCATCTCACATATGAGTACATCTCACATATGTTGAATCTCTAAACTGTCATTACCATCTGTCAATATTTTACACAGACTTCATTGTATCATCAGGAGCCATGGACATTTATTTTGTTTTGTTCTTTGTTTTGTAGATTCTGACCAAAACAGAAAATCAGAGCACATCTGGTCCTCAGGTCTTTACACTGGCTTCCTGTTACATTCAGATTAGATTTTAAAGTATTATTAGTTAATAATATATCACTAAATAAGACCTAAATACAATGCAGATATGCTAACAGAATATACTAACCTAACAGATCACTCAAAGCAGGGTGAATCCGCTTTCAGGTTCTCCCCCAAACCCCAAATCTTTTCCAAACCGCAGTATACCTTGAAATCAGGTTATCGTCCCATGCCTACTCCAGACAGAAATGCCAACTGGCCCAGCTGGGACTTTAACCAGCGACATTCTTAGTGTGACGCAACAGAGCTAACCACTGAGCTACCAAGCCGCTGCACAAACAATCAGCACAATCAAATGAACACTTTAAACACATCCGTTTAGCTCTTCTTTTACCAAATAAGAATTGCACTATATTTGACTGTCTTTCTGTCTTCTTTTTAATTTTTTCTAAACTTTTTTTTAACACTTTAATTTGTTTTAGTTATTTTATTTCTATGATGTTTTACTGATAATGTCTGATTGGTTTATAATTATTTTTTATCTTATTGTTTTTGGAAAAGCAATTTGAATTACCATTGTGTATACATTACCATTGTGTAATTCAAAATAATCTGGAAATACCATTGTGTGTATAGTGTATGCTATATACAAGCTTGCCTTACCCTATATGAGGATTGTTTTTTTTTAACTCTTAAACCCATAGAAGTCATTATATATATTAAAGCTGCAGAATATATAGTTTCAGCATCGATATTGCAATGTGAGCTTCCGCAATAGACACATCACAAAGATATGCTAAGATGATTGTTGAGTCTGTATTATAGTTGACTAGGAGCTGCAGATTTGTATTTAATCACTGTATTTATATGGAGTTTAAATGATTTATAAAAAAAATCTAAATCTTACTTTCTAGTCAATGTTTCTTGTCTAACTATACATTTCAAGCGAAAACAAGATTATTTCACTTACCCCAGTGACAGATAATTTAGTTTGTTTTAAGGAAAAACTTTTAATTTTCACTTATTTCTTCTGACAGTGAAAACTAAACAATATTTTTTTATTTGCTCTAAAAAAATTGAGATATTTGCACTAGAAATGAGACAAAAATGAGAAAAGCATTTATTTTGCATTGTGATAATTTATTTTCTGTACCTGAATACTGTAAGACTCCCCAGAAAACCCTCAAATAGAGCTATTCAAGCTATCTTGTGAAACTGTATTTATATCGCAACATGTATCACAGAAAAATAAAATATCGCAATATCAGATTTTTCCAATATTGTGCAGCCCTACTATGAATCATTAACTAGCAGGTTTCCAATTGAAAAAATGTTTACTTTTCTACTAAAGAAAAAAGGCATCTACATATTAGATAGCTTATTTACATTTACATTTTTGATTGATCTATCATTTTATATGTATTAAATTACTGTCCTTCAACTGATTTGGAAAATAAAGAGCATGTGAGCATGTATGTGAGCAGCTGACAAATATTATATGTCCATTACCGTCAATATTAAATGTTGAAATGCATATAAATAGCAAAGTTGCATTTACTCCATGTGTGTGTGTGTTTGTGTGCAAGCAGGCAATATTCAAATAACCGCAGTACTTTACTGAATGGCTGCAATACCAGCAGCCATTTGTGCACACAAACAAACACAGAGCTAAACCATTACTCAATCAATCAAACTGCCCAAACTTTCAAGCCTCATTAAACCACCAATATCAATGAGGCAGAAAATGTGTGCATGTGCATATGTGTGTGTGGGTGGGGTGGGCCACAGAGAGAAAAATCACATCGCATAAATGTGATGGAGATTATTGGTGAAATAGGATTATTTGGCCAGCATTTCAGTAATTATTATGCAAATCTTTGCGTCTGCTTATCTCTGTGCTGCATCAAACCATTTCGTTCAACGGCAGTGTTGCTCTCTTTAGCACATTTTATTAAACCTTTGAGACATAATAATATAATTTCGATGAATGTAGTTGCAGAGAATTACACAGGATGTGCGCAAGTATGGGAGTGATTGGAGCTATGTGTGTGTGTGTTTTCAGTGTTTTAACAGATGCTTGGATAAAATGGAGCTTAATCACATATTAATTCCTCTAAAGCAAAGGTCTTTATCTTAATACTGTGTATTCTGTCTCTCTCTCTCTTCAATCAAACACACACACACGCACACACATGCACACTAGCTTAGTTTGACTGGATGGTTTCAGCTTATCCTAATATAATCCAGTTATACACAGGAGGTCTGACACAGGCAGACATTACTGGGCTTTGTATTATTTTACATTATGACTACTGCAAATGATTGGATTCTGCCCATAATGTGTCGTAATGAAATGGCAAGCAAGACATCAACAGTCAGATGCAGCAACCCCATTCAGTCTATTAATTACACTGTGGAAATGCTAGAAAGTGTTTTATAACTCAAGGGGTTTGTTGCAGCTTTATAGGCATTGGCTGTTTTAATATTAGACTTAAATTTGTGCCATCGTTTACTCACTTTTATACCAAACCTATGTTATGTGCTATGTTCTGTTTTGTTAAACACATGGTAAATTATAAAAAATTGAAAATAGACATGTTTGCCCATATTTTCCATTAACAATAAATGAAAAATAAACACTTTAAATGCACTCTCAGAAATAAAGGTAGGAGCGCTGCCACTGAGCCAGTACATGCTTGTGTCTAAAGTATACTTTTTCTTATGAAGATCCAAAATCCAAGCTTGCTTGAGAACTGTGGGCCGAAAGTAAATATCGCAAACTGTATTAAATTAAAGTTGCCAATGTGATTTGCTCATTTATTCCATAATATTTAAAAAATATATAGAAAAAAAATAGTTCAACCGTATTTACTAATGCATTAAAATGTTTTGAAGACGTATATTAATTTAACAAACTTATTACAATAAATCAACGACGAATACACTAGTCATGCTGAACCTGCCTTTGCCTGGGTTTGCAAACTGCTGTCTTCTGCTTTGTCCCCTATTTTTAAGTGACAGTATGTACATTCATTTAAAAAATCTGGTTTTATAACAACATTTAATTGAAAAATTTAAATTTCGGTTTGCTTTTTTGTAGCTCAAAAATTAACGAACAAATGGATAGATTGAATACAAATAAGAATCTCTGTTAAAGGCATTTCCCAACCCTTTACCCTTCCCAGACATTTTCCCTCTGGTGGGTCAAATCAAAGCATACAAAAGGCCAACTTTGACATGCGGGCCCTAGTTTGAGCATTACTGATTTAAAGGAGTTCTTATTGGTATCTTAAAAGTACTTACAGTGCTCAGCATAATTGAGTACACCCCATTTTATGAATACTTTTATCCATTTCTCAGTGAATATGGGTAATATATTTTTGTGCATTTGAACAAAACAGATTTATTAAATGGATATATTTATTAGAAAAATATTTTAGTCACCAAACATATTTAGAAATTGAAAGACAATACGATAAAATTTAAGCTAAATATTGTACAGGGTTCATCCACATTTTAATACTAAAAGTCCATGATTTTTCCATGACTTTAAGGTAAATTTTCATGACCGAATGTTCCATTTTCTACGTAAAAAAAAAAAAAAAAATATATATATATATATATATATATATATATTTAAAAAAAACTTATTACAGCATGTCATAAAAACATGCAACAATCTATTGAGTTTCAATTTATATTTATATCTATGCAAAATTGATTTAGATTATGCTTACATTACACAAATAATGTTAGAGTATTTAATTGGCCAAGAACATACAAAGAAGTAAATAACCTATATTCAAGTATACAGATTAAAAAATTAGTTTTTTTTATATTTTTCCCTGACATATAAATTCGGGTGTACTAGTTTTTGGACTGTTGCAAGTAATTTTGTTTGATAAGCTCTAGATTTGGCTTCAGTACTGACTAATCTAATGTATATGCACAAGTATAATATTGTATAGCTTCCTAATCAAAATGTACATTTAAAAGATAGATTTGCGAGGGATGTATTTATGTATATGTATATGTTGAGCACTGTATTTAGTTCCTAAACATTTCAAAGGTATTGCACTGCTTAGGCACTAATATGTGCTTTTAGGGTATTAACATTGACCCTTCAGCTACAAACTTGCACCTTCTGAAACAGTACTGGCCCAGTGAAAGCTCTTGTTTATATTTTTCTAAGAGGATCAATAACGTTATCAACATTAAAGCTGACTTTATTATAATTTCATAATGAACTAAACTATAGCGTAGTTTTGTATTTTTAAAAAGTCTAAATGTTAAAGTGATTTGCTAATTTGATTAAAAACCCTATTATAAGCCACATTTATGAGGTTTTTGCATTATTTGTGCCATAAAAAAAATCCAATTTACTGTATCAGCAATGATAAAAAAAAACAAGCAAACTGCATTTAGAATGACTATTTGCATAGTACCACAGAGTAAAATAAAGACAAATTTCTAAGCATTAATGATGACAGAAATGTAATTTCTGACTGAACTAATCCTTTAAGATTTAAAAATAAATGAAGAGTAAAAATATTCTGGTGACATGCCATCCAAAACTTGGAACTAATAGATCTTTTAATAAGATTTTTTCAATTATTCCACCAACCAGGACACACTTGAGCAGTTCATTAACCTAAATCAAAGACAACCGGGATTGCCCTGCTTATTAATTTTAGAAGTTAGATGTAAGAGCTGATAATACACACATTCCCAGAGACTTGTCATTATATTATAATAAACTTCTTCTGTCCTCTACCCACCTGTTCCACTGTGCGAGTTCCCGAGGCGTGTGTGTGCGTGTGTGTGTCTCATGTTTTTGTTTTTTTCTGTCGCCCTCGACGCGTGCACGGCGCGCGCTCTCCTCTCTGTTCTCATCACCGACTATCACTTCCGTGTTGGCGTGTCTCGACGTCACGCGGAATGTGAAGCAGGAAACACGGATGTGTTGCGCTTAATCTGCATCTACAGGTATTCACACACAACTCTCTTTCTTCACTTCTTTAATTCTTAACAACACAGTCGCAGCACCGCCATGTTTGATAACGTGCGTTCATATTAAGATCGGTGTTGTTGACGGGTTCTGATTGGATTCGTTTAATCCGTGTTTGTGTGTGTCCGTTTGTATGTATGTGTGTGAACCAGCCGTGTTCCGATCCATATGTTGAAGCCAAACCCCCTTCCGAGCTGATCTGATCCAGACGCGGAGCATCGGTTGAACGGTACCGAGTGGAGGAATGCCTGCCGGTAAGATGCCGAACCCGAGCCGGTCATAACCTCAACCTTCTGTCATTAACTTAAGACGGTTTATGCTGCAAACATTGTGCTGCAGTGTGTATGTGAGAATGAGTCAGTGTCTTTACTAAAGTCCTGCTGATCTCAGCTCTTCCCTGCTGCTTCAGCAATAACAGAAAAGCACAGCGAGTACCATGGTATTTCCTTTGGCTTCAGTATAATAGAGAACTTTATCTTAATAAATGTGCTTCTAATCACTAAATGCATTCCATGAGTGTATTACATTTTCTTGCGACGATTAATAGCGTAAGCTTTTATCGCGGTATACGGTATTACGTTTACCTAAGTTTCAAAAAGGTTACTCGAACAGGTATAATAACAATACTATGGTAAATTATAATAGGTAACGATGAAGTCTAATCATGTTATTGCATATTATAGTTATATGTTAAAGTTAATAAAAAAATACAACCAGTGCTTAATTTGAGCCAGGTCTTTTCAGATCCTGTTCAGGAAAATGTTCAGTATTCGTGTTTTGTGTTTTAGTATTAATTTTAATGCATCCGGCATTAACTTGTGCACTGTGAATACTTACTTGTGTGTGTGTGTGTGTGTGTGTGTGTGTGTGTGTGTGTGTGTGTGTGTGTGTGTGTGTGTGTGTGTGTGTGTGTGTGTGTGTGTGTGTGTGTGTGTGAGAGAGGGGAACAGAATGTGAAAGCAAGCGAAAGCTGTGTGGATTGTGTCCACAGGATGGTAGTCACCATGCGCAAGTTAAAGCAAAACCATTGACCCTCAACAATATTTTCAGCCAATAAGCTTTCTTATGTTTACATCTCTTATTGGTTGGTGATTGTTGTTTTGCGCGCAGTGAGCAGCAACAATAAATAATGGCATAGTGGCCAACCTAAATATCCATGGGACGATATCTGTTTTCAAGGTATACCACGGTTTGGAATAGTCAAGATTTTAAAACAAGCTAAATTTTCTGCTATACTGTTCCTACGATATATGTAAGTTTTTTTTTTAACGTTTTTTTTAACAGTATCTACAGCCGAAAAGATATGCAAAGATGCTGTTTTAAATTGTAAAAAAATCTGTGTTTTTTGAAACTGATGAGAGCAGATTCATTTTAATTATTTAGCATGACATGTTTACTGTTCCAAAATATTTCTAATGTGTCTGGAAATAACATATATTATGTTCAAATGGAAAAAAAAAGTTCTAGTTTTTTTATCCAGACATTTAAAAAGAATATATTTTAGAGCAGTAATAACAACCCCGTGAAACCATGATATTTTTATCCAAGGTTATTATACCGTCAGAATCTGATACTGACCCATCCCTAAACCTAAATAATATTTGTATTTTTAAAATGGCAAGGAGGCAGTCACGCACATTTAAATTTTTTAAAACCACAACTAAATCTGATCTTGAGCCTGATCAAAAAAGATCCTTAAAAGATGAAACTGCATGAATGGATCAGGATAGCAGGAGACAGAAGCAAAGCGATCTCAAGTCAACTAGATAACATAACAGAAGAGTGGGCTCTTTTTGTGGGCTCTTTTTGAATTGTGGGCTCTAATTAAAGATTAGACTGAGTGAGTCATTTAATTATTTGTTTTTTACTTGACACATAATAGTGAAGTGATCTGATTAGTGATTGTTTACATGATTAATGTTTGTAGGTACATGTTTTTATTATCCATGACTGACCTATAACGTTATGGCACAAAATAACAAAAGATGCAGAAATGTGATGCTCTTTTTTCGTGCTATCACCATTTAATAATGTCATGTTCTAGGAAAGCTACATTTATTTGATGGACATCGGTCAGGGTAACTTTTTATTTTCTGGTTTTGTTTCCGGGAATTATTCATTTGCATATTAAGCACTGAATACAGATGAATTATATTAGTTGTTATCCCCATTTAATAAAATGATTATGATTTTAATCTGTTATTAAGCATTAACTAAGAAATGAGCGTTAGCTAAGATCTTTAATCGCTTTTGTTGTTGTCATTATCCTTAAGTTAAACTAACTAACATTAACAAATCGAACCTTACTCTAAAAATTAAACTAACAAAAGTCCTGTAAATAATCATAGAAATTTTTTTATTTTGTTTTGCAGATTAATGTGAAAATGTTAATGTTTACAAATAAATCACCTGTTAATTCTTCAAGCATTTGTTGCTCTCATGGACAACAACTTTCGGAACAACAATATGAACATTCTTTAGAAGCTTAAAAGTTTAAACAATATTAAATCAATATTCATTGTATTGAAGAGCCCACGATATTGTGCATGTTCATTGTCACAATATATTGAATTGCTGAACGTCAACATAAGTCTAATTCCCATGGTTCCCGTTGGCATTGTAATGTGTTTAGTGCAGGACAGTGACTCATGTCAGACTCTGTTGAGGTGTTGGCACTGATGTCACAAACCTTGACAGCAGGTGGCACTGGCATGTGATTTAATGTCAGCACAAAATCCCACTCAGCAGGGTCCAAGATGGGCATCTTACGTAATGTATTTGGACGTCTCCGATTTGAGTGTTTCTGAAGAGCTTATGAGAGTCTCCTGCGGCCATTGTTGTGCTTCGTTCCTCAGTGCTATTTTAGGATCATCGAGAGCCTGTTGTATTTTTGTCAGTGATTGTAGTTAGTTGTAATGAATCAATTGTGTTTGTCAATTCTTTTGTTTGTTGGGTTTGTATGTCTTCATAAATTGAATTCAGTTTTAGTTATTACAATCTGTCAAATTGACTAACCTAATATTTATTTAATTCTAGTTATTTTAAGTGAGAAAATGGTTTTCATTTTAGTTAACTAACTCTGTTTTTTTTTTTACAATAAATGGCTCTTATTTTAGGCCAACACTTTAATAATAATTAAATGTGACTTATTCAGTTGTTTTACATAATTAGTGCATGTTTGAGTTTTGTTTCAGACTTTCTGTTTTTTTTTTATTTATTTTTTTGTCTGTTGTTTTGATGCAGTTTAGCTTTGAAAAAAAAAATCATTGGTTCATTTAAGTTTTAGGGTATTTGATGTTTAAGAAATACTTTTATGTTGCTGGCTTTAAAGTCATCCTAAAACATGAATTACTATGACCTTTCACTTTGGCTGGGTGATATTGCAAAAAAAAATTATCCCTATATCATGTTTCATATCATTTGATATTGGTAATAACTGAACTTTTTTAACAATACATTTAGGAATATTAGAATGTTTTATTTAACCCCTTTATTTTAATTTACCAATATTACTAAGGCAAATAGTTTTAATAGTCAAAAACAAAAATATTTAAACAAAATATCTGATCTCTTTATGAAAAAGAGACTCTTAAACTTGATAAATAAAATGTTACAATCAAAGCAAACTTTAGGGTAGATCAACATCTGTAAGGTGTGAACAATAATGAGACAGTAAACCTCAAACTTTGTAAACAAAACAAATTATGATAATCAAATCTGAGCTTTCAAGTAAAGGAACCAACCAACATTATTCAAAAATCATTACACATCTTTACAAATTGCAACACACTGCAACATTACTAATTGTTAAGTTGGATGACTACATTATCCCCTAAAAAAATCTTTCAGATGGGGTGTTAGTGGGTGGGATGCACAAAAAAAGAAACCAAAAAGCTACTCTGGCGACATCATTTTCTATTTACAATCTCTACTACACCTTGAGCTTATTGTCTTTGCTTCCAAGGCGCGTGCTCAGCAGCAATATTTTAATAAAACTATAGCCTTCATACCGAAACTTCATACAGAATAATTGTTTACTCGATATTGACAATGGTGTTCAATAAATATCGATACCGCTTTTAGCGCCCAGCCCTACTTTCACTAATATTATGGCCTATATTTTAATTAAAAATATATTTTTGAGTTAATGAATGCTCAAGGCTTTATAAAGTGATGAGCACATCAGTTATTATGAACGCCTCAATATTCCATTTAAATTTTTCAATTTGAATTTTATCATGACTAGATTACTAAAACTATGTTAAGCTGCTTTGACACAATCTACATTGTAAAAAGCACTATATAAATAAACATGAATTGAATTGAATGACTGCCAACTTTATGATGCAAATTAGTTAGCAAAATTGCATTGCTATTGGTTAGTTTGTGTGGTTTTGGTGGTTTGGTTTTGGATGTTTTTGTTTGTATTGTTAGTGTGTTATTTTTGGATTCTGGTGTTTTCAAGTGTTGATGATTTTTCGTTTGCTATTTTCAAGAATTGTTGTGCTTTATTTGGCCTATCCTTGCACTTACATGATTTAGTTTGTTATTGATTTCAGTTCAGAGTTTTTTGGTATCAAATGCATAAGTGTTATAATACAATTCTATATTTAGTTTGAGCCACATTAAAAGTTATTGTAAAATAGCTCATAAATACAGTACATTGACATGTGAACACACAGGATTAATTCGGTCTTTCTTCAGCAAGTCGCAACAAGTTTTTACTTTCATCCGTGTCAAAGTCACTCCCATGTGTAAATACCATGAAGTATTCCTTACCACTGCTAGTTGTGTAAATATTAACAAAGTCTAATGTACATGTATTGAAGTCCTTCGATAATGTTTCTTTTGTGTGTTTACTGCTTTATTGCCTATGACATTATTTAGTTTAGCACAAACTGATGTATTGTGAGAATATGTTGGTACTATTTTGTATGTTTTTTTTTGTTTTTTGTTTTTTTTGTACGATATTTATTTAGTTATTGTTGTGCAAGATTGCTTTGGTAACATTTCGTTTGCAATGATGTTTTATGTTTAGTTTGGCACTGTCTTGTTTTGGTTATTGTTAGTTTGCCAGTTAATTTCCCAGACGTTTCGGTGTTGTTTACATGACTGCTGTTGACGCAGTTAAGTGTGTGTCATTGCTTAATTTTGCATATAATATCGTTTTGTGCGGCATTTATTTTGGCCATTTGTGATATAGTTTCGTAAGATTGCGTAATGTGTAGTTTGACGCAGTAGACCAGACACCCTG